ATGGCAAGAATTTAATCGATCGCCACTGAAACGTGATAGCAAGAATTTAATCAATTGCCATCAGCCAAGTAATGACAAGAATTTAATCAATTGTCACTACGATTCAATGGCAAGAATTTAATCAATTGCCATTGAATTAAAAGCCTAACTAAAATTGCGTAATTTAAATTGGCATAATTGAAATTGAAAGAAAGTAAATGGCTGAATTGAAATAGTTGACAATGATCTAATCAATTGCCATTAAATTGAAATAAAGAAACTGATAGGAAAAAAATGACGTAGAGTCAATTGAAAGCATTTTTAGTTGAAATGCATGTTTTGTGGTGGTGCTGGACAAATTGGAATGGAATACAATACTTCTATTTATAGAAGTTCTATCTCAACCTATTCTCCTAATTAATTGCTAGAAAATCTCTCTTGCTTCAATCATTTTCTTTTGAAATTCAAACTGAGCTACGGCCCAACATTCCTCGCCTTCAATATCGATGCTCCAGTTTCAATGGGAAAGTCTTTACTGAAATCTCTCTTTTCCTTGATTTGCTTCACTTTGTTGCTGAAAATAAGTCGTATTCCAGTAGTCTTTCACATCTTTTCTCCTCTTGTTTCGTCTTACTTCAAATAAAATACCTTTGTTAAAGAAAATATTAATTGCTAAGAAGTCGGTAGAAAGCTGCTGGAAGATTGCTAGTAAGTTGCTGATTTTTAGCAACTTCTTCCTTCAAGCTTTGACTGAAATATTCCTTTAAATGGCTGGAAAACCATTTATAGCCTTGACCCATACTCTCACGTGGCTGCCCCTTCCTTTTTGAATTTCATTTCCATAAGGATTCAATTTCCTTTCTCATAACTAAATCCCTATTTTTTAGGAACTTAATTATATCACTTCAGCCAACCTCTCCCAATGTTCTATTTCTGATGAAATTTCCTTTTGAAATTAACACAAATCTTGGTTGTTTAGTAACAACCCTTTTGGTGAGGTGGCTGAATATATAAATATCCTCCTAAATCTTCTCCTACTATTTCTCCATTGGCTGACCATTCTTGGACATGCTCAACCCTTATCGGCTTCCCATTGGTCCACGTCGCTGCTGAAGTGGCTGCCAAGTTTTGGTGCCAACAAATGCCCCCTGAATTTCAAAGGCTTTTATCACTTATGATACGAAGCGTTTGGAATTTGAATCGGCCTAAAATTGTAATTCAAATTTTAGTAATAAATCCTTTTCCCAACCACCTGCTTTGATGGTTATCTTTCCCAATTAAAGCGGCGACTACACTAATCCGCTATTACATCCAACAAGTATTTAGCTTGATGCCCTCTAATCCCTAAAATCATTCTTCTTCCCTTAAACTTTCTATCTCCGAAATTCTTTCTCGGCGAAATCGTTCCTGACGTCCTCTATGGCTCCTAAGAAAACTAAATCAACTGATTCCACCTCTATCCCTCAACCTTCCGATCCTTCAACTCATGGCAACATCATAGAAAAATCCCTAAAAACTCTATCTCCTTACAAATACTGTCTCAATACCCTTATCGATCTTCGTACTGACTTCAAAGGCTTAGGTCCTGCTTTCCTTGATGAAGCTCCTTCATCAATCTCACCTTTCTATCCTTCGGCCGACGTTCTTCCATTCCTTCAAACCTTCCCTCCTAATGAAAATGGCAGTTTGCCACACTTTCATTTTAGAACATGGCATAGCCCAAATGATGCTTGGATCAATTGGGTCAACCGAGTTGGAGCTGTGAAGGGAGAAATATGGAAGGATTGTGGCATATATGATGCCATTCAGCTAAGTAAAACTAACATCGCCCAAGACAGAGCCTTGATGATAGCAGCCATGTTTAATTGGTCGACCACCATCAATTCGTTATACTTGAAGTGTGGCATGATGGCTCCAACCATTCAAGACGTGTGCTATCTAACCGGCCTCAAACCCTTTGGAATTGATGTAAGTACCTTATTGGTAGAAGAGGATTCTCCTTTCATCTTCCCTTCAAAGCAAACTGGAACCAAGTCATCTGAATCCTCTTATGGCAAATACTTAACTTCCACCATGGATCCTCGCGTTCCTGTGAATGATGCTAAAGATATTGCCTTCTTGTTGGCCTGGCTGAACAAGTTTCTTCTATGCGTACCGGCCTTTCAAGTCACAAAGGATTTCATTCATGTGGCCGTTGCCCTTTCAAGAGGTAAACACCTTGCTCTTGCCCCCTTGGTGCTTTCTCATTTATATAGAGGGATTTATGACTTGCTTATCTCCAACTTCGGACGCTATGGTGGTCCCCTCTGGTTATTTCAAATTTGGCTTCAAGTGTACTTTCCTGAGCTCGGACCTGTGGTAAGGCCTTCGGCCAATGACCCATTACTTTCTATAAGTTACGCATTGGCCGTACCTAAATCCCATTCGTTTGGAGATTGCTTTAATTTCTTTTACTCCGGTTGTGAACAGAGGACTATCAGCCAATTCCTTCCATTTTCTCATTGCTCACAAGCACCTCGATGGCTGACTCCTCCTCAAGGAGTGTCTACCAAAAAATCAACTGATAAGCATTCGGCCATGTGGGCTAGTTTCTTACTTTCAAGAGACCTTCACTTCAACACTGGCCCTCTAGGCACAGTAAACTCAAAAGTTGGAGTTGAGTTCTACAATCCAAACCAACTTGCTAGGCAATTTGGTCTGACTCAAATGATCCCCATGCCCCCTTATTTCTCTTTCAACAAAAACTTTCATAGGCGTGTGGTATTTCCAGATGACTCCTATGTAAAGAACGTGTCCTCCCGGTTCTCAAATCTGCAAGCCGGATTCCAATTCCAACCCTTCATCAAAAACCCAGCCTCAGATTCTAGTTTTGATCAATGGTGGTCTTCTTACATTACTTCTACAAGGACGGCTGATAGCCAGTCCCTTGTTGTTAAAATATTGGAATCTTTCAAGTTCATATCTGTGGCCTTTGAAGGGGCATTCGTAATTTCCCGGGCCGTTACCCCAAAGAAGATGCCTCAAAAAGATCCTCCCAAAGGTAAAAAAACAAACGGCCAAGAAACTCCCTTTCTCTCAGCCAACAGATGCTCCAACAAGGACCAATAAAGAGAGAAAAGCTAAGGCCAAAGCCACTGTCAGCCTCCTCAAGGGTACGATCTTCCTTTATTTATATATATATATTAAAAAAAAAAACTTTTAATTGAAATTCTCTTACCCCCCCCCCCCCCTTTTTTTTTTTTTTTCGCAGATTCAGACAGTGGAACTTTATCAGCCTCGCTTAATCCAGAAGACGTTGAGCCCCAAGATGATGAAATTTCCTCCAGCCAACCTCCTCAGCCTTCAATAACTGAATCAGCCATCATCCCTGATGTTCCTCCAATTCCTCCAAAGGTAAAAGTTTTTTTTTTATTTTTTTATTTTTTTTTATCTATTATCATACAAAGATAATCATATCGGCCCAATTGTTAAAATACTTAGCCAATATTGATTTCTAATTCTCGGCCACAACTATTATTGGCCGAGACAAACTTTAATAAAGCTTCCATCTCCAGGGAAAAAGAAAGAAATCAACTGCTCATGGCACTTTAAAAAGAATAAGATTGAGCAAACGTAAGAAACATGAAGTGGAAGAAAATCTAGAAAGCCTTCATCCTACAGAAGACGTGGCCGATGATCCCGTAATTAATGTGGCTGACACTCCTTCTGATCATTCCTCAGATGAAAAAGAGGTAAAGATAACTGTACTTGAAATTTCTAAACTTTTCAATTAATATGGTCCTTAATTTCTTCTCTTTTGCAGCAATCTCCTCTTCTTGATTTGGTCTATAGCCCAGTTAGAAATTTCAGCCCTCTGAAGGATTTTCATGATCCCATTGAGGTGCCCTTCAATGTTCAAGTCACTCCTGCTAAAACTTCATCCCAGGGAGATAGCACAGCGGTTCAGCCAGAATTTCCTCCTCCAGAAACCAGTCATCAGCCACTCTTAGTGACAGACATAGCCGAATCATCTAAGGTATTGACTATCTCGTGTCCCAAAAAAAAAAAAAAAAACTTAAGATCTAATCTTTCCTCATTTTGTCAGGTTGTGTATTAGAAAACTCAAATTATTCCTTTATTTCCTCCACAAAAAGTTCCTGCTTCATCTCTATTGGCCTTGAGCAATTTTTTTAAGGATGTGGTGGCTTCAGTGACCGAAGAGAAAGAAAGTGAATCTTCTGGAGCCACCCCAGTCACTTCAACCAATATCCCTATACAATCCTTAGAAGAGACCAAAAAATCTTTACTTGAGATCTTGAAAAGAGATGCTGCTGATCTTCCTAATTTTGAAAGTGAGCTCACAGCAGTGCTTTCTACACTCAGCCAGTACCCAGACTTTCCGGTTGATCTTCAAGCCACTATTGCTACCTTTAAAGGCCAGCTACCAACTCTGACCGATGATATTTTCCAAGCCAACGAAGCAATCAACCAATTCAACAAGAGTAAAAACAGGAAGGATACCCTTGCTAACCAATTGTTAATTCAAGCTTCCTCCTTTGAAAGAGTGAATACAGAATTCATCGGCCTTGAGGAAAGAGAACATGTCCTTCAGAAAGAGATCGACCAGATCCATGCTCGTAAGGCCATCTTGTCTGCTGAAGCTACCACATTGCAGTTTGAAGCTCAAGACCTTGCTCACGAGCATGCAAATCTTCGTGGAGAATTACCTCAATTGGAAGAGTCAAAGAGGCAGGCCATGGTGGCCTTCAATCGGTCCTTAGTTATTTGGGCCGATTTCAAGGAAAAATTTGCAAACATATGAATTTTTATATTAGCTTCCTTTTGTGGCCATCTTAGTGTATGATCTTTAAATGATGTAATCTTTTACACTTCAATGAATAAATGGCCTCTTTTGTTACTCCAAACAAGCATCAACATTTTAGCGAGAAAAAATTTATTAAAATAGCCAAATCAGCCTAGAAAAGTAAGCCGATTTTTATTACATAAAGGTACATATGGTCAGCCATAAGTACTGGCTAACACTAATTTTCCCTTTCAAAGATTGCCGGTACGTACCTCTTGAGGTACTTGCCATTAATGGGATAGTCATGTAATCGGCCACTGAAATACTTCAGCCTATATGCTCCTCCACTTAAGACTTGATGGACTAAGTATGGCCCTTCCCATTTTTGGGACCACTTCCCATATTTCCTATCGACTTTACCCACTGGCAAAACAACTTTCCAAACCAAATCTTCTTCAGCAAAGGACTTAGGTTTTACCCTCTTGTTATAGATCCTCATCACTTTCTTCTTGTGAGCTATGATATGATCCAAAGCATCCCTTCTAAATTCATCCAAATCTTCCAATTCTACCAACATTGCTTGAGTATAATCAGCTGGAGTTAGATTATTTTGAAAAGCAACTCTGGCTGATTTAACCTTCATCTCCATAGGCAGAACAGCATCATGACCATAAGTTAACATGTATGGTGTAACTCCTGTGCCTGTTCTTTTTGAGTTCCTATAGGCCCATAAAGCTTCAGACAAAGTCTCATGCCACATTCTTGGCTTATCTTTAATCATTTTTTCAATGATCTCAATTAGAATCTTATTTGAAGATTCAGCCTGGCCATTTGCTTGAGCATAGTATGGCGTAGAGGCTGACATATGAATATTCATGTTGTGGCCGAATTGTAGTACATCAGTTGCTCTAAATACTGTTGCATTGTCTGAAACCAGTGTTTCTGGAATCCCAAATCTGTGGATGATGTTTTGCTCCATGAAATTAATCACTGTTTGCTGATCAACCGCTTTGCAAGCCTTGGCCTCAACCCATTTAGTAAAATAATCTGTGGCAACAATCACCCAGTGATGGCCTTCGCTTGATGGTGGATTAATTTTACCAATAAGGTCAAGGCCCCAACCTCTGAATGGCCAAAGTTTGATTATTGGCTATAATTCTTTTGCTGGTACATTTTGAATCGGCCCGTGTCTTTGACAAGCTTGACAACCTTTTGAGTAATCTATGCAATCTTTCCTCATTCTCGGCCAATAACATCCATACCTGCGAATCAGCCATCTTATTTTAACCCCAGCTTGGTGAGCCCCACAGCTGCCCTCATGTACCTCGGCCATAACCTGAAGTGATTCCTCCTTGCTTATGCATTGTAGTAAGAGCCCATCTTCTAACCCTTTTCTGTATAGATCCCCATCTAGGAGCACAAAGTTGATCGCTTTTCTTTTAATACTTCTATCAGCCTTGATGTTTGGATTTCGAAGGAACATTATAAATGGTATCCTCCAGTCATCGTCGGCCAAATCTTCTACATCAATTGTCCAAGTATCAAACATAGTATTTCTCAATTCGGCCGATGGCAAAGATCTTCGTGTTATCTTTATCAACTGATCTTCTATTCCGACTGGTACTCTTATTCCTGAGGCTGCTTGGGCCATGCTGTTGGCCTCCTTATTCTGCCCTCTCGGCCAAAACTTAAGTTGAACATTATCAAATTGATTGATTAATGAAGTGGCTAGAGAATGAAACGGCCTTAATTGCCAACTTAGGCACTTAAAATCTTCAGAAATTTGGCTAAGGACTAAGTTTGAATCTCCCAAAATCTTTACATCTCTAACAGCCATTTCAATTAAAATCTCCAGGCCGATTATAAGCGCTTCATATTCGGCCTGGTTATTTGAACATTTAAAATCTAAAAAGAAAGAGAATGAAGCCTTTCTGCCAGCTGGCGAAATAATAACAATACCTGCTCCTGCTCCATCAGCCGTGCTTGATCCATCAAACATCAAGATCCAAGGAGTCAAGAATATAGCTGATGACTCCAATTCATCATAAACCCATGGATCAATATCAGTTGAAGGATGATCGGCCAAAAAATCAGCCAGAACCCTTCCTTTTACTGATTTTTGTGAGATGTAGATAAAACTGAATTCCATCAAAGCCAAAGCCCACTTACCTATTCGGCCAGTGATCAATGGCCTTGATAGCATATACTTGATCACGTTAGTTTGACAAAGATTGTAAACATCAACAGGCTGCATGTATACTCTCAACTTCATGGCCGAATAGTACAAGGATAAACAAAGCTTCTCAATTGAGGAATATCTGCATTCTACATCAGTTAGTACTCTACTCAGGTAGTAGACAGCCTGCTCCTTTCTATGTTCATTGTCTTGTGCGAGCATACTACCAATTGATTCTTCTGCGGCCGATAAATAAAGCTTTAACGGCCACTTCTTTTTTGGAGGCATTACAACCGGGGGGTTTGCCAAATATTCTTTTATTTTGTCAAAGGCCTTCTGATGGGATTCGTCCCAATGAAATTTCTCATGTGACTTTAATTTTACTAAAGTCGAAAAGACATGCACTCGGCCAGCATGGTTAGAAATAAATCTTCTAAGAAAACCTACCTGGCCGAGGAACCTTTGCACTTGTTTTTTGTTGGCTGGGGCCCTAGCATTTATAATAGCTTTAACCTTGTTCTGATCAACTTTAATACCTCGTTTGTGTACCAAGAACCCCAAGAAATTCCCGGCTGAAACTCCAAATGCACACTTCAATGGGTTCATTTTCAATTTGTGAACCTTCATCCTTTCAAAGGCCCTTTTCAAGTGTTCCAAATGCTGTCTCTTGGCCGATGATTTCACAACTACATCATCTATATAAATTTCCATGAATCGGCCAATCATATCATGAAAGATAGAATTCATTGCCCTTTGATTAGTAGCCCCGGCATTTTTTAGGCCAAATGGCATCACAATCCACTCAAAAGTACCAATTGACCCAGGACATCTAAAAGCTGTTTTATGAACATCCTCCTCGGCTAAATAGATTTGATTATAACCTGAATGGCCGTCCATAAAAGACAATATTTCATGCTTAGCGGCCGAATCAATAAGTTGATCGGCCACAGGCATTGGATATTCATCTTTTGGAGTGGCATTATTTAAATTACGAAAATCCACACAAACTCTAAGTTTGCCATTCTTCTTCATTACAGAAACAACATTAGACAACCATTCAACATACCTAACTGTTCGAATAAATCCTGCCTTAAGAAGTCTTTCAATTTCTTCTTTAATTTTGAGCACTACTTCCGAAGACATCCTTCTTGGTGGTTGTTTATATGGCTGAAAATCTTTCTTGATCGGTAATCTATGTTCTACCAATTTTCTAGACAGGCCAGGCATCTCTTCATAACTCCAAGCAAAGCAATCCTTATATTCATTTAATAATTTAATCAAATCGGCCTGGAATTTAGGCTCAAGCAAAGCACTAACAAATAATGGCCGATTATCTTTTTTAGTACCAACATTTATTTCCAATAAAGGATCTTGCACCTCTGCTTTATTATCTTCCATCTTGGAAGGGGCTGACTCCAAATCTTCAAGTTGGATTGCATCCAGTTTTTCAAAACCCTCTTCAATTATATCGGCCGTGCTGGCCGATACCTCTTCATATAGTTGTTCTTCTCTGGCCAGTCTCTTCTCAGCCAGATATGCTTTCAGTCTGATGCAAGCGGCCCTGAAAGCTTGCCGCTTCTTTTCTTCATTGGTTTTGTGATCCATCAGTAACATCTTCAATGTCCTTGATGGTCGACCTGAAAATATCAATTTTCGGCCGAGCTGCTTCTGACAATAATTCTTTAATATCAGCATTAATTAAATTCTTCTTCATTGTTGCCGCTGCTGGTCGTCCCATCCTGTTAATGCCAACAAATTTGATAGGTACAACAGTTTCATCATAAAGTGCAGCCTCAGCCGAATACACCCTAGCTATAAAGGGTTTGTTATCAGCCTCAACAATTTTTACCTCATTTCCGTCCCAAAAAATCAACATTTGATGCGAGGTTGATGGGATGCACATGTTAGGATGAATCCAATCTCGGCCTAAAAGGAGATTATAGGCCGCGGTTGAATCAATGATAAAGAAAGCCGTAAAGGATGTCTTACCGCCAATAGTAATTTCCAAAGGTAGAATACCTTTGGTGTTACTAGATCCTCCATTAAAACCATTGATGGCCACGTCGGTTGGAACTACATCATCCATGGTTTTACCCAATTTCTTCAAAGTAGTTGATGGAATGACATTCACCACCGAACCGTTATCAACCAAAACCCTATTGATTGGCTGACCCTCAACCCATACTTTAACATACAACGGCCTCAATTGCTGTGTCATGGACAAAGGTGGTTTTTCAAAAATGATTTTATCGGCCTCAGATGGCTGATCCTGAGAGATCAATCCTATCCCGGCTGATGAACTTGTCGAATCGTCCTTAATTTTTGAAGATTCAGCCTTTTCTTCCTGCTTGGCTGACTCAACATCCCTGTTCATCGTTGGTTCTATCCTTGCTTCAAACACAGAAGGCAAAACAAATACCATGTTACAATTTACCTTATCCGGGAGAGAACCAAAACGAATTCTGTACTTGGCCGCATGCTTTGGATCCTGGTCTGGCTGATCATCTTTTTCTTCATAAAAGCATGCCTTATTCTCAAAGGATGTAGCGACCTCCATGTCTTCAGCCACCACTGGTTCATTTTTCCTTTCTAGTTGATCATGGTCGATCTTGTCCTCCTTCCTTTTGAGTTCTGCATTTTTCCTTTACATCCTCCTTTTTTGGGTATGTGTAGGAGGCTGCTTAGGAAACTTTGGGTGACTTACTCGAGTCCATCTGCCATGGTCAACCAAAGGAGGTCTAACCGTTCTTACACAGCTAGATTCTTCTCCTTTTTGAACCCATATTTCTGACTGAATTGTTGGTTTCCTTTTGAAACTAGGATAAAAATGTTGTTCTGGCAGGACTCTATCGGCCACCGATGACCGAATGATTCTCACTGCCCTCGGCCCATTTTCTCTAAATATTGATCGATTGATTTTTTCGTGATTCTGTCTAGGCTGATGGCCTAACCTTTCATGGACACTGCGCTTTCTGGTTGATTAGAAAGAGTCCCTCTTGTCTGAGTCATTCCTTCGGCCTTTGCAATTTGGACAACAACCATGGTTGATGAGGGCAATTTGAGCTTCTCTTAACTGAATTTCCAAGTCCTTAACTTTCTGCTCATCATTACTGGCCGATGAACTACCAAGAACTTTTGGTAATCTTTCCTGTCTACAATTATCAGCGGCTTTTTCAGTTGCCAGGCTGATTACATTGGTACTGACAATATTAGGAAATGGATCACCATCGACCCCCATTACATCTGGCTTCTTTTCAGGGAATTTCAATACACCTTCATCAATAGACTTCTGCAATACATTTCTAAATACATAACAATTGTTAGTAGTATGATTCCATGAATTATGAAATTTGCAGAACTCTCTTCCTTTTAAATCATTGGTCGATGGTATATTGTGTCCTTTTGGCAGAACGATTTGTTTGTCAGCCAACAAATGATCAAAAATTTGTTCTGTTTTGGCCAGATCAAACGTATAAACCTTACCAGTATCAGCCGTACCCTTCCTGGCCGATGAAGTCGATGGCTGTGTACCACTGGTGGATACATTTGGTTTTGTTAAAGCGTCATATACATAAGGTTTCTTTAGAATGACTTCGGCTAAATTAACTTCAAAATCTTCCTCTTCAACCACATCAGTTGAATAAACTTCATAGTTGGGGTCCCTATAGTACGTACCTTTAGAGGAATTTTTTTGTTCTTTCTCCTCTTTGAGAACCAACTCATACCTGGTAGCTTTCTCGGCCAGGTCATACATGTCACGAAATGGAACTCCTTCAAACCTCTTCCGAAGTTCAAAATCAAGGCCGTTCAAAGCCAAACGAATGTACTCCTATTCTGGAAGAGGTACACGACATCTTAATCTTGCTCTCCTGAATCTTGCAATGAATGTCTCGACCGATTCACTAGGCAATTGACTTAGCCTGGATAAATCGGCCAGAGTAGGTTCTGTCTCCGTACGGTAAAACTGATTGTGGAATAATTCCTCCATCTGTGGCCAATTAAAAATAAAGTTAGGAGGTAGACGAATATACCATGAAAAAGCTGCCCCTGTCAAAGAGTTAGGAAAAAGTCTCAATTTCAACCACGGGCTAACACTGGCCTCTCCACATTGAACCGTGAATCGGCCAATGTGTTCCACGGTCGATTGATTCCCCTCTCCACTAAAGGTTACAAAGTCAAGGACTTTATATCCTCTAGGGAACTTAACTTGGTCTACCACTTCTGGATAAGGAGTTCTATAAATTGGTCGGCCGGCACCTCTAAGTTCCAGGCTATATTCTTCTGTGAGTAAATCAGCTAATTGTCTTCTATCTAACATGACTTGAGGTGGCTGATTTAATATTGGTGGTACCTGATTAAAAACTGGCGGCTGATTAGCCGCTGGTTGATAGCAATTCGGCCAATCATGTGGCTGATTAGCCATATTCTGCCCCCCGAGCCCTACCTGTGGCGGCACATGAGTATACAGTGGGTTCGGTGGCCTCCACCTGATCTGATTGCCCCCCGAGTTCAAAAGCATCCGAGGAGGGTTTGGTAGAATTACCTGTGGCTACGAACCTGCTACTGGTGGCTGATTAGAACCTACCAACGTAGGCTGAGGATAGCTTTCTGCCCAGGTGAGTAGCGTATGAACCGGCTGACTTAATGTTGTATCTGGTTGGATTATCACTACTGGCGGCCATGGCTATGATGTTTCAATGGCCCTCTTTGGCCGAGCAGCTTGTGATAGATTCGGCTGAGAAGCCGATTCCTGATTGTTGGAGCTGCTAGCTTGAGTCGGCTTGTTCAAAATAAAGGCTGAGAGTTGGGACATATTTTCATGCAAGTCATTGTAGCGTGCTCCCACCCTTCCCATTGCATCTACCAAGGAGCTAACCTGTGCTTGAAGTACGGCTAACTCATCAGTAGGACCTGCTGCAGAGTTCTCAGCCTGTACTGGCTGATCGCCTTCCTCCAAATCTTCATCAGTAGCCACGGCCTTAGAATTTTTTGTGAGCTGCGGCATATTTGCCTCTTTTATAACACTCTAGTAGTGGTCCCACCGGGCGTGCCAAAACGTGTTCGCGTGGTTTTTGTTCCTTACGCCGGTCGATGGACTCTTCGCGGGCGTGCCAGAGTATTTGTACAAAATACCCAAAATATGTAATTGAACACCAGCCTATCCCTTTTTCCGATGGCTGACTATCAGGCGATTGTGTGGGAGAGAGACTAGTAAGAACTCCCAGCAGGGTTCTTTTATGCCTTGTTTGTAGCAAGGACTTTTTAGAGTGTCTAAAGAAATGCAACGGCTGATGAATGTTTGAATGGATGGAATGGCCGAGTGAAGACAAGCGGCAAGAACTTAATCGATCGCCGGCCGAACGTGATGGCGAGAACTTAATCAATCGCCATCAGCCAAACACAATGGTAAGAATTTAATCGATCGCCACTGAAACGTGATAGCAAGAATTTAATCAATTGCCATCAGCCAAGTAATGACAAGAATTTAATCAATTGTCACTACGATTCAATGGCAAGAATTTAATCAATTGCCATTGAATTAAAAGCCTAACTAAAATTGCGTAATTTAAATTGGCATAATTGAAATTGAAAGAAAGTAAATGGTTGAATTGAAATAGTTGACAATGATCTAATCAATTGCCATTAAATTGAAATAAAGAAACTGATAGGAAAAAAATGACGTAGAGTCAATTGAAAACATTTTTAGTTGAAATGCATGTTTTGTGGTGGTGCTGGACAAATTGGAATGGAATACAATACTTCTATTTATAGAAGTTCTATCTCAACCTATTCTCCTAATTAATTGCTAGAAAATCTCTCTTGCTTCAATCATTTTCTTTTGAAATTCAAACTGAGCTACGGCCCAACATTCCTCGCCTTCAATATCGATGCTCCAGTTTCAATGGGAAAGTCTTTACTGAAATCTCTCTTTTCCTTGATTTGCTTCACTTTGTTGCTGAAAATAAGTCGTATTCCAGTAGTCTTTCACATCTTTTCTCCTCTTGTTTCGTCTTACTTCAAATAAAATACCTTTGTTGAAGAAAATATTAATTGCTAAGAAGTCGGTAGAAAGCTGCTGGAAGATTGCTAGTAAGTTGCTGATTTTTAGCAACTTCTTCCTTCAAGCTTTGACTGAAATATTCCTTTAAATGGCTGGAAAACCATTTATAGCCTTGACCCATACTCTCACGTGGCTGCCCCTTCCTTTTTGGATTTCATTTCTATAAGGATTCAATTTCCTTTCTCATAACTAAATCCCTATTTTTTAGGAACTTAATTATATCACTTCAGCCAACCTCTCCCAATGTTCTATTTCTGATGAAATTTCCTTTTGAAATTAACACAAATCTTGGTTGTTTAGTAACAACCCTTTTGGTGAGGTGGCTGAATATATAGATATCCTCCTAAATCTTCTCCTACTATTTCTCCATTGGCCGACCATTCTTGGACATGCTCAAGCCTTATCGGTTTCCCATTGGTCCACGTCGCTGCTGAAGTGGCTGCCAAGTTTTGGTGCCAACAATAACCAAACAAAAGTAATGAGCTCTCCACCCTTATTCAGGTGTTGGGCATGAGTATAGGCCTCACAATAACTTGCAGCATAA